TTAAACTGAAACTTTCCAAGTTCCGAATTTTTCTGTTTTTAAGAGAAAAAAGAAAATTCTTTCTGGATTTTCATAACTTTAGGTTCATTACTAACGTTATTGGTATTCAAAGCAATGATGCCAGGAGAAAATGCTGAATATAAAAATGATAACCTTTTAAGAGCTCTATTTCACACAAAGGTATCTATTTACGACCTTTACTCTCTTAGACCAGTTATCTTTGTCTGTCGTTGTTATTACAGTTTATCAGTTTGCCTTTGCAACAAGAAGTAATCAGTAAAGCTTAAAGCTTTGTTCAGCTGCTCAGCCTCAGTGTTTTGTGTGTTTTTCTGGTGCTGTGTTTTTTTAGCTGAAGTTCTTTGTCAACACAGTGGATGCTGTGACTAATTTGGCTAATTCTGGAAGAAAGGATTACGCTTGGATTCTGCATTGATGTTTTGAGTCTCAGTAAAAAGTTACAATGAGTGAGTAGTCTGGGTTATGCAGACAGTTGGGTGGGATGATACCTTCTGGCCTTCAAATCAATGGGATCTGTTTGTTGCCGTATGATTCAGCCTTAACTTCTGAGCCAGTCTGTAACGTCTTGTAGATGATTTTGTATGCAGAGCACCCCATACATTGCTTATGAATGCATGTCTTGGATCAATGTGAAAGCTCCTAGTGAAGCTTTCACACAGAGGTGTAGAGATATTATTGGGACACTGCAGTATTGCCAAGTTTTTGTGATTTAAGCAATTCTTGCAGTAGTTGACACTATTCTAATAAAGTTTCATGTTGTTTTAAAGAAGAGTGACATTTATTGTTTTCAAAAAAGGAAGAGGAAGTTTGTAATCTTTCTCATTGCAGAATAGTGCTTGAAAAATTGACTGCTGTAGCTGAACACGACCTGTCCCCCCATCACCCAACAACCCAGAAAACAAAGAGAAAACCCCACAACATAAGGTTTAAAACGTTAAGTCATCTAAGGATTTTTCTAGGATCTGCTTAAGATTCTGTTAAGGGTAAGAAACCACATAACTCACAAGCCTGCTGGTTTTCCAGCCCAGGTGCACACACAGCCATGACCTCACTCCATCCATGCTGAGGCAAGCTGTGGTTGTGCTACAGCCCTCCCTGTACCCTGCTTTCCAGGGAAAGGAATCTCCTTGTGTGCTGGCCAGAGAGGAGCTAGTGAGTACTTCCCTAGCACAGAGGGGACCAGGACATAGAGGTTTGTTGCAGTTCAGTCATAGCCTCTAGGTCCCATATTAGATATTTAAAAACAAAACAAAAACAAAACACCAACAAGTTTTCTTAGAATTCACAGCTAAGCTATTAATGAAACAAATACAAAATGAGAGATTCTGAATGAGAAATAGTGCCTTGAAGTGCATGTAGCCCAGGCCAAGTGCTGGGCCAGTGCCTGAAAGTGACACAATCCTGCTGTCTGATCTGGACGGTGACACAACCCTGCTGTCTATTTTGGATGACCTGATTTAATTGCGCCAGTTGAGAGAAATGCAGAAAAGGAAGCGTGCCTCCAAAAGAGTGACAGAGCCATTCAACTGTTACAATGCCCTCTCTCCTGATAATCCTGGCTGTTATTAATTGTAGAGATAAGAACATATTTTTCCTCCTAACCTTACAGTGTCATTTGGTTAAATTTGCTGCCTCGAGGGAAGTGTGTTTCTGTAGAGAACTTGGTAAACAATATAGGGGTACTCATGGTCTCAAGAAAATGAAGCTTTCTACCAGGGTGACTGCAAGGCCACACTGCCCAGGGAAGGAGGGAAGGCAGCTGGGAACTGCTCCCGAGGTGGGAGGCAGCAGCTGCTGAGAAAACTTTATTCCCTCGCTGAGCACAGAGCAGGCAACGCCCCAGTATGAGAAGAGGGCCAGCATGAGGAGAGGAAAGAGGTCAGAGATTTTCAGGGAAGAGCAAGAATGAATTGTGCCTCTTTGAGTGGGAATTCTTTCTCAGTGTGGGCTGTGAGCTGCCCAGTCAGCACGGCTCCTCAAAAGGGCTGGCCACTCCTGACCGCTCCACCTGTGGCTGTGCAGTCTGTGTGTAGAGCAGTACAGAACGCAGGTGTGCGTGGTCTGACACGTGAGACAAGCGGTGGAGATACTAGTACGTCACCACTTCTCTTATCAGACAACAGTAGGTTTCAGCCAATTTCCATTACTATTTTTATCCTTTATTGTGTGCAAATACACAAGGATTTTAGTAACAGCAGAGTCACTTTAAAAGCCGCTTGGAAGGCTGGAGAGCATGATTTCTTATTTTCACCAGTCCGTCTCACTTTATTTTTAGAAATGAACTATATTGCTTACACAGAATCAGAGCAAGTTTTTTTATAAAGGCATTTTTTTTAAAGGATTGAATAGTTGCAATTGTTGGGAAAAGGTGCTTAGATACTGGATTAGGAATTTGCAGGATCAAAGCAGCAGTTAAGATGCCAGGGAACTCATCCAAATCACAACATAGCTGATATTCTTTAGGGAATACTGGGCTGTTTTGTATACAGCACTCTTGGCTCCAAGTAACTTAAAACCTGAAGAACTGAAATGATTACAAATATCGGGCTAAATCTTGCAAGGTGTTGAGTGCCCACAACTCACACTGGACTGAAGACTCTTTTACACTGTGGCCCTTTATGCTATGATGGCAACGTCAAAGGCATTCAGTGGCAGTAAATGCCACTGGGGGCCCCTTTGCAGTATCGGACCGTAGCAAAGTCGCTTGGGCACAGTTGGGCATTCGGCCCGTTTTCCAGGCAATACTCAGCACCTTTCAGGAGCAGGCTGACAGGGGAGTGGCTCTGGCAGAAAAGCTCAGTTATTTGTGATCTCAGTTACACAGAAAATGTAGAGGATGGGTTTGTTGGTTTGGTTTTTTTAACTAGTAGTTCTGCCAGTGACCAGGCCCAACAAAGATGATACAGCCAGCAGGAAGATGAACCAATACACAGACTGTATTGTAGACAAAAAGGACATTCCATGAATGATCGCTGGGGGTACAAACAAGTCAATCAGATGGTACATAATTGACACCACCCCCAACGATCCCACAAAAGACATGACTCAGCCCACAACAGGTGGTATAAACAGAGACACAAGGTTTCCCATAGTTGGCATGGGAAACAGACAGATCACCAAGTTAAACATATAAGAAAAAGGTGCCCAGATGGCGACTTTCACCCGAATGACCCGCGTTCGCAAAGGCCTAAACAGACCAGGGCCCAGCTCCAGGGAGAGTCAGGAGGTCTCTCCTGAACCAGGACGCTCTGTGGAGTGCACTCCACAGACAGACACTCCTGACTCCCTGCAGGTGGTCCCAGCTTTTATCCCCAAGCAGACACCTGACCTTTGTCAACTCAGTGCGGGACCCCTGGGGCTCATTTCCCTTCTGGCTCTCCCTGCAGGGCCGGCCACACCCTGGGGGGAAGCTATAAGGCAAACTCACCACCTCTTTATGAAGGGCTGAGGGAATCACCCATATGTCAACCTTAATTCAGGGCTTGGGGTTCAGACCCCAGCATTTCACCAGTGAGAAGCCATGGGGATTTCTGCTGGGCTGGTCTCCTTGAGATCTAGACTGTAAACAAAGGGCATGAAATTCTCTCCACCCTGATTTTAGTGCCAGTCCTCAGACTGAGTTCAGTGAGGTGAGAACTCACTTACACTTTTGCTACACTGGGAGTTGCATCTAGCTGACTCCTGTCCTCTCTTGGGCTCCAGGTGAGGAACAACAAAGACAAAAGCAGAGCAGGCTTTTCCTTTTTCCAGATCTAGTAACTGAGAGGAAAGCTCAATTTTCCTATCCAGTTGCACCACTGAAAAGGCACAAGAGAACTGTAATATTGTAATTTCATACCATTTACTTGGAGTACTTAAATTTCTATTTAAAAGCCTTTTTAAAAATTAATCATCTTTGATGAAAGGTTTAGTAAGTGCAAAAAGTGTGGAAAATACATGGCATGAGCCAATTCTTTTTCAATATTTTCTTTGAGAAAACTAATTTTTGTTCTAGTGATACAAAAAGCTTTTCATTCTAGTTCTGACCAAAACAAGAAAATGTTTGGGTTTTTTTTTTTCCTTTCTATTATACTTAACACAAATAATGTTGCTGTCACCATAATGGGGTAAGCAAAATTTCTGAGGAGAAGATACTACCTTTTGTCTTTAATTAGACCAATTATATGTTTGGAAAAGAGGCAAAGACAGGAAAATCATGATTTTTGATATTCAAAAGATATGTTTGTCTTCATAGCCTCAGTTTTAAAACTTCTACAAATGTTTTCTCAGATCACTGGAAGCTCTTACTGCTTTCTCATTATTTAACGTGTTGGGTTTGGAGAATTTTGTTTGGGCTTTTTGTCATGAATGTAGGTGAACTTGGTGTTCTAGAGATTTGGAATTGATTTCAGAAAGAAATATACAGAATTTAATGCATGTATAAGAATAAGGAAACTATTCAAATATAGTTATTGAGTACACAGTAAAAAGTTTGGCTAATTGGAAGAATTAGAAAGTTTTGCTTTGATTTTAGTATATGGGGTTGTCAAAACTCATGAGGAAAGATGTGACTTGAGGTCTAATGTACCTGTGTTTATAGATGAGGAAAGATACTGCTTCATTTGTAGACTGGTATTTTTTGTCCTTTATCTCTCTTTGTCCCTCACACCTCTTCTTCACCTTCATCCACAAACTTCTTCTGCTTAAAGATAGATTTCAATCAAATGTCACAGAGGATATCAAAGAGATATCAAAGAGAGATCTCAAGAGACGATATCAAAGAGAGAAGTAGAGATATCAAAGCTTCATAGCTACAGGTGAGGGAAGTCTTTCTATTAAATCACCCCTAACAGTTTTGCATCACGATGGCTAATTTGTAAACATCAAAGGTAGCGGCCTGCATGTTTCCATTATTCTCCAGAGCAGAGAGAAGGGCAGTAGGAGATTAAATCTGTAAATATTTGTGATGATGATAGAAATCTTGGCTAAAGAGACAATACAGGATGGACTATAAATCAGTAAAACAGCTGTCATTATCTCTGCTGCTCATGGACTTACTAGAAGATGGAAGTGGATGGTACAGGTGGACAGCTACATACACATCATACCTCTCCTCTTCAGGTAATACTGAAAACCGTTCTAGCAAATACAGAATTCCATGTATCTTGCTTCTGGGTTTCTGTCTAGCACCTATGGTGTTCGGCACTTATGGACTTCCTTTCCTCTGTTATCCTAGCGTCTGATTCAGTGACACAGGGAGAATCACTTCTATTATCCCTTGTGTGAAGTACACCTACCTGGGAGCCCAGATGTGCAAAGCATCAGTTTAAGGTGAGGTGTAAGGAATACCATAGCCAGCTGGGATGCATGAGCCTAGCCCACAAAACCAAGTAATAGCCATTCCAACTTGGGCAGACATGGCCTGGGATTGTTGGCAACCATGACTCTCAAGGGCCTGAGCCCTTTACTGTCTGTGAAATGACATCTCTGATGTAGTGTTGCTGCTGGAGTGCTGGTAGGGCTCTGACTCACTGCCACGTGACCTCTTGTTTTCCAGACCTGAGTGTTATTACCATGTAAAGGTTGACCCATTCACAGAACCATGTGGTGTGGCAGCAGGCCATACGTATAACCTTGACTACAATGCCCTTTCCAGAGACTGACTGTGGTTTTCTTATTATCTAATGAGTTTGTCATTTCCTGTACTAGTTGTAACAGTGCTGAATATTTTCTAGGTTACCTAACCAAACTTCTGCAAAATCATACTGCCTATGCCTGCGATGGGGAATATTTGAGTCTGCACTGTCCTCGGCATTCAACAATAAGTGTCCAGTCAGCATTTTATGGGCAAGACTACCACATGTGTAGCACTCAGGAGCCTGAAGCCAGGATGACAGAACCCATGAACTGTGTGGCACCCACCTCTTTGCAGGTATCGCACGTCATGAAGGTTCTTAATGCACAGAATGTTCTTGGTGGTTCCGTGGGGTGAGCTATGCTGTGTGAAAATGCCAAGTGGTCACGATGTTGAATGAAATCACATTGTGGCTATGTCAGTTTACCATCAAAAATATCATAGTTGGAAGGATTGGTCTGGCCAGCAGGATATTACCATAGGATTATTAAGGCTTTGTAGATTGCCCTGTATTTTGATGAACTTTGCTTTGGAAACCCCATTCTCAAAATTCCCTAAAATAAACAATTCACTTCTAATCAGGGGCTTGTCATGACTAAGAAAACCAGTCTTAACTATCACACAGGTCCTCCTTATCCCCAGGAGAGGATGCAAACATTGGATAGAGCCGAATTACAAGTCCACTGAATAAGATGGCATTCTGGTTGGCAATGGCTTGTTCCATGCCTATCTTCACTCACTGAAAAGGCACCATGGCAGCTGAACAGCAGAGCCTAAACACTTCTGCAGATGTGTATCTCTGTGAATACATTATTTGTATCAGAAATATCCTATGGTTTGTTTGCTGGGCCCACCTAAGTATAGCTTAAAATGTTTTATACTTCCTAAAGTACTGCTTTCTGCTGTGGAGAGTTTTGGAACAATGCTTAGAAGATCTGACTTACACTACTGTCAAAGGCTTGTTTTGTCATAATATAAATGCCCAGTGTTACATCCAATTCAGTAAACAATTGCAAAAATTAGTAGCTAGTGGAATCTGAACAGGTTCTGTTGGTGAAGCTGTTGTAAATGCTTTATGGAAGCTTTGATGGAGCTTGCAACATTTGTGCTTGCAGACAACACATTGCTTCTTGACAACAGGGAATGGCTGTTCCCATCACTAGTGAGCTGAAGAGTTTTACTGAGAGGTTTGGCAGTAATATCCTATCTCCAGAAACAATATTAGGGCAATTTTATAAGTGTGACTTGCCCATGCTGCACTGCAACTTCTAAAGACATTCCAGACATGACCTCTGGGCCATGTGAAAGTACATCTCTCTGCCAAAAACAGTAGACCAGATGCATCCTTGATGTCATTTTACTGAGTACAGTAAAGTGATACCAGTGATTATTTTGAGCTTGTGAATGGCTTTGTGAGGTCTCTATGGGCAGTTTTTTCCCCTGAATTTAAGAAACATGGCATGGGGTAACTGTTGCATAAACTATCATCATCATTCAGGCACTGTAACTGACCAAAAGCATTTTGACAAGGCCACAAACATGAGAGATACGAATGCTCTGCATCTCAGGGATTTCTGGTTCTGTCAAGGAGAAGAGATACATCTTGTAAACTGACTTCTTAGAAAAGAGCACCAGTGATCTCAGGACCTTTGGACCTGCATCTGCAGTCTGCATAATCGGGCATGATGCTACCCTGTAGCCAGCAGGAAACATAACAGGCATTTTATACAGTGACCTCCTGTTAAAAGGATCACTGCAGTTATATCTGTCTCAAGATATTGATAGCCTAGTTCTACCCCATTACGAGCATCAGCATTTCCTTTTGTGGCTGCGTGGTTTTGCACAGCAACTTGACAGAAAATGCGACTGCTGCTTGCATTAAGTAGGAGAAAATATAAACAGATGCACAGGAGATGATTCATCTCAGGTGCAAACAGAAGGTGACTCAGTAGGGGACACCTATCTCCATTTACTAAAGATGTAACTCTATTTCACTGGCCTGTTCCAGAACCATCCCAGTTAAGGAGTTATTTGACTTGCAACTGTGTAAAAGAAAAATTGACTGATAAAGCTAAGTCTGCTTTGCTTTTCCTTCCCTTTTAAATTCTTCAGAGAGCACTTAATGCTCAAATAGTGCTGGATGCAAGTCCTCTTCTACAAAGGGGAACAAAAAGGCAAGAGTGTTACAGGATCGCTGCAATGTGCTGCCAATATGTATCATTTATTCTTGAGAGGGATGGCTTCCAGGGATGACAGAGAGGGATTCAGCCACTGCCAACTCTCACAGCCTGGAAACAAGAGTGCAGCTTGTGCTATCACAGTGGTAAATTTGTGATTTGGCCTCTTGGTATGACTGAGACCCCTTCTGATAAGAAAGAAGGCAAAAATTCCCATAGGTTTAACCTCAAACTATCAGAGAATGGTATCTTGCAGTCATGCCTGTTAAGAGTGGGATGACCCAGAGGCAACACCCTTGTTATAGAAGCCTGTAGTGATTTTAAACATCAGGAATCCTGGGGACAGTAACACAGACTATCCAAAATGATTGTATAGAAAGCCTTCTCTAAACTGGGCTTTGAAGGTTAATAAGAATTTCATAAGTACACTGCTACATTTAAACTGTGTGGGGTTTTTTTAGGGCCCTTGGCCTTAGGACCATTAAAAACTGAACTCGGACTCATCTTCGGCATTGTCTTCATATTTTCCATAGCTACAGCTCTGAAACCACTGATGAAGTGGGAACACTAACATGAGCACTAGGAGTACTCAGCCCTTTTGCTCAACTTGGGGAGGGTCCACATGACCCTTTGCATAAAACACGCCTGACTTTGGTATTGTCCTCCTTCTGTTGCCACTCCCAGTGAAGCAGCACAGTAAGAACCATGATATATTACTGGGAAAAAAAAATCTGGGGTAGATATGGCCTTATAGGAGCATTTAAAAAAAAAAAAAAGACAAGCAGGCTTAGGATATATGGGCACATCTGTGATATCTGATCAAACTAATGCTTGTTTGTCCAAGTGGCAAGTCAAGTATCTGACAATGTGTCTAAGTGCAAACAAGAAGTGCATGCCCCTTAAGCAGGAGGTCCTGCATGTGGCTTAAAGGTAGGGTTGTGCTTTAGTGTCAACTAAGCACACCAAGTCATTAGGCAGAACTCTTTCAAGTGAAGATATTAAAGAATGTGATCAGGTAAACTTAAGTAGGTCAAGATGAAATGGTTAAAAAGACATCTTTTTAAGTTACCATGCTTCACCTGGGCATTGCACTCCCCTAAGTGCTGTCAGAAGTGGGGGAGTGCCTCAGTGACAGCAGTGAAGAGGCCGGGGGATGAGAGCGTTCCTACTCAATGTGGGCTCTGCATAGAGTCTCAAGTGCCACACAGCAAAACCTGGCTGACTTGCTGGAAGCAGAGGGAAAAGTTAAAGAAATTTGGTAATGTCTTAAATTGTCATGGGCATTACTGTGATGATGCTCGGTCATGACTTGGGCTGGTAGAGATGTGGCCTTTTAAATCCAGTGATACAGATGTTTTTAATATTTATATAGCCAAAATGTTGTGAAGGAATGATTTGTCTCCTGTATATAACAAAGTACAACTAAGTGTTCTCATTGCTGTATGGCTTCATACCTTGTTTTCAAGCCTATCCTTTTTGCCTGTTGTTCTAGAAAGTACTGGATGAATGCCAAAACCTGAGATCCTGCCAACTCCTTGTCAATAGTCGGGTTTTTGGACCTGATCTGTGTCCAGGGACCACTAAATTCCTCCTTGTCTCCTTTAAATGCAAACCTAGTAAGTAATCCACATCAGGCAAATGTGATTTTGTGTGTTTTGTTGTTTGTTTTGGCTAAAATGCCACTGCACAGGGCTTCACGTAAAACCATGTGAAGTTTTGAGAGTTTTAGATTAATAGCAAATTGTTTCTTTCTGCTTTACCTTAGCTCTCCATTGTGTTTACAACTTCAGTGTGCTTGCTGCCAATGTAATGACCAGTGTAGTTTGAGAGCTGGATGCCAGACAGCAGACTAGAAAGGAAAAATGTTTTGGAAATTATTTTTAAAGAGATGGCAATGATAATGTCATATTAGAAAGATAAAGCTGAATAGCAAAAACAGATGCTTGGGCTAAGGATCCAAACAGTGAAGATATACTAAGGAATATGCAAAAATGCTTAAGGAGTTAGGACTAAAGGTTGCAAGGGTTCTCTGCTATTACCTCCGATTCATAGAATAATGGCTGAAGGATACACGTGTGGCTAACTTTGTTACAGAATTTCATTGTAGAATCATCTGTATTCTATGCAGGTAATTGACATTGATAGGTAACAGGACAAATCCTGCCTCAAAGAGGATGTGTTTTTTAAACATGAGAAAAATGTAAGAAGATTAAAACAACCTTCATGAGGTTTCATTTATGGTCTTTTTTAATTGTTTTTCTTGTTGCTACTTTATGTGAGAACAAGCCCCAGCAGCGTGGGGGCTCAGCTTTTTTTGGCTGCTAATGCCCAGTGTGGCTGAAATGAGTCCCAAAGAAAATAGTTAAATGATTTGTGGGTAGGTGCAGCAGCCAACTCAGAAATACCACCTGACAGCTAAAGGAGAAAGTACAAAATAGATTTTCTTCCATCAGTGATATCTATCTTAATGTTCTGATTAAAGAGAAACAAGGGTAGCAAGCAAACTGAAGGGCCAGTTCATGCAAAATATTTAAGTCACAGCAGAGATAAGGCAAATGGAGTAGGCAGGCATTACCTGTGGCAAAGCACTGACACAAGAACTCCCAGGGGGTTTACTGGGCCAATTGTCAGGGGAAAAAAAATGTCTTAAAGTTAAAATTTTAATGATCTATTATCTTAGTGGTTTTAATTATTTTTTTTTACATCTAACAATTACTGCATTATTACTACCAGATGGATTTGAATATTATAAATGTGTCTGTGTCATAAAAAAAATCTTTTTACTAATCAAAATTGGACTGAGGTCCTGTTCGCTACTTTTATAAGCTACTAAATATTTTTCCCACTGGAAATGAGCTGCTTTGTATACATAATATTCTCTGTGATCTGAATTTTACAAAAGCTGTTCAAAAGTCTATTTGATAGCAAGTGCTGCCTTCAGAATTGAGGAACAGTCCACTTGCAGTGCAAATTACATGATTTCATGTGACAGGAAATTTATATTTGTGGGGAAGATACCAATATTGTTAGGCTTGGCTGTGGAAAACATCCTTGCTCAGGAAATCACTGGAGTATAACTTTAAGTATATTTTACAGTGTCCTTGGCTTTGAGTGGGCACTTTAGCAATTGTCTGAATCCCTTCATTTTTCATCTTTTTAGAAATACTGTTGCTATATCTCTGAAGAGGTCTCTCTTGTATTCTTACACTTGTCTTACACCAGTTGCAGGATTCCTTCTCTTGTTTGTTCTTCCATAGACTCTCCAGCAACCACAAAGCCCACCTGTACAGACACAGAACCCAGCTTTAGGCTGTCAGCCCTCGGGTCAGAGCCTCTGATTGCTTGGCATGATCCTCATGGGTTTATGGTATGGCAGGTGCTTCTGCAGAACTGTCTGTAGTAGGTCAAGTATTTTTTAAAATCACTCTTTAGAATTAACCTTATGACTGCTGATGAGCTCAAATGGAAGAAACTGCACTATTACCAGGAACATTAACCGTTTAAAAAATATATTCTATTTTAAAGAAAACTTAAAGAAAATGTTTTCTTTATTGAGTAGATAGATAGAAGATTTTTCTCTCTCCAATTCCTCTGGCACCAACACCCACACTCCACTTGCAGGAATACCACTCAGTAACAGTAAAGTTTCTCTTTTCTCCTGTTCGGCTCAGCAACCTCTTTTTCCTGTTTTCACATTTTTGAAGGACAAAAAAATGGAGCAGAATAAACTCTTCTCCCTGGCCTTATCTGTAGTATAAAGGTTTGCCACTCTGTGTAGACCAGGAAGACACAGGTGGTAAAATGCTGCAAGCAGAGTGGCTGCTTAGACCAGCAAGAGACTTCCTTGGCCAGATGGCAGATTTTGACCAGTTCCCTAGGAGGGATAAACCATGCTGTCTGGAAGACAACCTCACTGGCTTCCCCACCTCTGTGCTGAGATTGCTGCCAGTGTGGCTGTGCCAGCTGAGAAAGGGAGAGGGGATAACTTTCTGATTCACATCGCTTTGTCAGCAAAAGCTTTCAGTTGAGCCCACGGTGGATGGTTACGCCCAGGGAAACCTACTGACCTCGGTGGAACCGTGCAAATATAGCCGAGAGCACTGTCTGGCCCAGGGTATGCCGCCCGTCCCCATGTCTTTGTGCTCCCCATTCTTTGGTGCTGTACGCGGTGGCACTGGGTGACACCAGCCATCCCCATGATTGATGAGTGGTGGGAGGCTCTCAGCACTCAGGCAGGCATCTGAAGTAGGCATAGAAAGCAACATTGTCCCAGGGAGAGACAAAAGGAAAGGACGAGGCTTCTCCTGCTGAGCAGCAGTGGAAAACACACCAGGAAGTCATGCAGGAGGTGGGGAGGCTGTTCCATTGGGAGAGGAGATTGGCAAAAGTTAACGTTTCAATTCCTTTCAAAAAGGTGCCCGAGGCTTTACATAGTCATATGGGGGCAGTTCGGTTGGAAGAAACACGATGCTTTGCTGTTGGCTTTGTCTCTGGTTGTAGTAGTGCCACATACCAAACTTGCAGAAAAGCTGTTCTCTGTCATGCTGCTATTTTGCTATTAACAGGCCAGCCGAGTAAATCGCCTGATGCTACCATATTGTTATTTGCTTCTATTTTAGCTGAATACAAAACCAAATCAGCATGTGAAAACCAGGAACTGAAACTCCACTGTCAGGAGTCCAAGTTCCTCGTCATCTACTCTGCTACATACGGCAGATGGGCACATGAGGAGAAAGTCTGCTCAACAGAAGTGGAGCGCATCCCCCCCTTTGGTATGTTGTTATGCTGTTGGTAGACCTTCTCCAAGCAGGTGCACAGAGAAGAGGGGAAACAGAATACTTCAGCTGGAAAAGCAATGGCATTTTGAAAGCATCAGTGATTGAAACATAAGAGATATTATTGATGCTTGTATGACTAATAGGTTCAGTGGTTGATGCTGAAAGTATGAAGGTGAATTTTCATGCCATGGAGAAGGCTAGCACAAGATATGTTTCTGGTTCAAATTGCTTAATGTCACACAGGGAGGGGCTTATAAGAGTGATGCCAGCCCTGTGCAAAAGCTGAACTTCACTCCCAAGAAACATACTACAAGCAAAATCTGTAAGAAGGATCTCTGAACATCAAGAAGAGATCAATAATGAGTCTTAAAAGCTATTTGTCTGCAAGCCAATCCTTCTATTTAGTTATTAGGTATTATTAAAAATGTATTGGCTTAAAATTGTAATCTGTTCTTAGACAAAAGTCTGTTTCAAATTGTTGGGTCTGTGTTCACACTGGCTATCTCCTGTCGGTCCTTCATACAGATGTTATTAGTTCTGCCTACCTGTTCTTTGGAGGAAACATTTTAGCAGGTTTCTGACAGGCCCATACATCCTTTGTGATGGTAGAGTTAGTGTGTGACAAGGCAGAGCAGAAGTAGCTCAGTTGACCTAGGAAGGCTGCCATCATACTTATTTCTTGCACTTTATCTCTGGAAAACACTCACTTGCCTGTAATGTCAGCATTTACAGTTCACAGATCAGAATACTGCAAACACTTCTTACTGGTAAAAGTTTCCCAGTATAAATAAAGTATTTGCAACAGCAACAAACTCTGCTGTGGCTCTCTGTGTAAGAGCACCTCTTGAGCAACACCCTGCCTGTTGCTGGCTTTGTGTTCTATGGGGCAATGTAAAAGGGTGCTAGTAGGCGAGAGCATAAAAACTGAGACAAGCACAAGGTGCTTCTATAGAAGGTAGATCCTTCTATAGATTTCCCATTACTTAATGAAAGTGCTTGGCCTCTTGCTGCATGGTAGCACTAACACTCTGCAGCAAGTCTAATTTTCCAAAGCAGCTATGTGGCTTGGGAGTACACAGTAAGTTATCACAAAAAAAAAAAAAAAAAAACCCAACCACTTGGGATCCAAATCCAATTGACTCCAGATCTATCCATCTTGAGCTTAAATCTTACTTGTGTGGTTATTTAAGCATACACAAATAAAAGAGGGTACACAATTAAGCTTTTTGAAGGTCTGTGTACCTTTCTCTTGGGGAAAGCAAAGGTAATGTGAATGTCAATGTGATTTTAACAATTTGAGACAATTTATAAAACCTACTTCAGCTGCTCTTCATTCATGAATCAGAGGTGATTTACATGCATACGTTTGCACCAAAAGCTAAATCTGCTCCAGCACACATCCATTGTTGTTTCTACCCACGTTTGCACATCTGAGCCTAAAGGCAACACTTGAGCCTTTCCGTTTCTTTCACTGCATCACAGGGAAACTGTGAGGTGTTTTTTAGTCCTATGCAGAAAAGGAGTCATCTGTAGGTCCTAATGACAAATACAGGAAGTCTGTTGAGCTCAAGAGTTTTGCATCTATCCATACTTGACATGGTCCTGCTAGGAGTACTGGCTATTGAATCGATTAGATACTTCTCTAGATTTTGATGTCCTAACATTACATGTAATATAACTTATAAGCAGTTAATGACTAACAGCAGCTTTGGACTGAGATGTACTCTGAACTATAACTTTTCTGTGAACAGCCTATCAAATTAGCTGATGTTTTTAAGTGCTTTGCTTCAAAAGGAATGCAGGAAAACTTAAAATCTCTTTAGCATAAATGCTTTTCTCCATGTAGAAAACAGGGTATATAAATCCATCTCTGGTATTGGTGACATCTGTGTGGTCTCAGAGCACTTGTAGGATCCTGAGCCTCAGCTCAACATTTAGGATGACTGCCTCCTCTTGGAACTAGTTTTCTGAGGCCAGTTTAATAGTGTAAATTCGGTCCCATTTTCAGTACAGAGGAAGAACAACAATGGCATCATGGTGTCACCCCTGCTACATAAAGCCTCTACAGTAGAGTTGCTTTCTGGTCTGGTAAAGTCTTGCTTATCCTAGGCAATGGAGAAGCTTTAGCACAAGACAGAGTCAACTGAAAAGCCCACAGAGGATAGGTTATGGGAAACACATTCAATTCCCTGTTCTGATTCAGATAAAGAGAAGATTTGAATCTGGGTAAAGATTTGCACTACTGAGTACAAGAACTCTCTAATGTGTGCTGTAGCTGGTAAGACAGTACTACTTCAGTCCGAAGGCTGATATCTAATTATATGTGTAACTTGGACCTTTCATTTCAAAATATCTCTTGCTTTTGTTAAAAATGACCAGAAACAAAAAGCTACACTTGTTCCATGCAGTTTGGGGGAGAAGGAGGATTTGCCAACAAATGCGAGATTTCCATAAAAGATTGTGGTAAAATATTTTTCCTGGGTTTTACCACTTTCACCATCAAACTGAAATATTGCATTTTTATGTGGTCTTGCTCTCCAGCCTGTCATCAGGGTCATTCATATTGATGAGTGGTCACTGTTGCCCACTTCAAAGAACAGTGTGTAAAATCTTGTCTCCAGGCATTTTAGCTTCAGGAAAAATTTGTAAGCAAAGTAAGCTCCTGCCATAAGTAGCAGAGTTCATCAAAGCACAGGGAATTACTTCCATTATAAGATCTCTGGATCTTTGCAGGAAAATAAACTCCAAGCAGTATCCTGCTTCTGCAGCTGTTAAAGTGGCTGGCACTGTTAAGACTATATGGAATTTACAGAAGGTAACTTCCTTGTTTTACTGATATTATCAAAAACATCTTAAGAAAATTTTTTTTGGATACAGCTTTATATCAGATGGCTCTGCTTAGAGGGATCTATTGTGCCCAGCACCAAATCAGGAAACTGTACCTGTTTGTTCCTGTGTGAGTTGTTGCCTTTTCTGACATACTGTCTGTTTTATATTTGCGCTAACATGTGCATGAGGAAAGAGAAAATTTAAAGGTTCTGCCAGGACAGGTTACCATAGAGAATACAAAGAAGATTCAGGTCAACAAACACTTCCCAAATAATAAATTATTCTTGTTACTACATGAAAGTATTTGAAAGAAGGCTTGGTAGTGGGTTGCCTCTAGCTGCAGCTTGCAAGCTAGAACATTTAAAACTTCCTTTCCAGAAATTTCCCCTGGATGTGCGTTGACTGGTCAGATTGCACTCCCTCGAGCACTAATCACCAGCAGAGCTCTGAATTATATATTGTCACTGCTGGACAGTAGGGTCCTTTCCAGCACAGCCCCTCTCTTCTACCTGTTCCCACTGTGGGAGGTTGAGAGGGGAGGCGTATAATTCGGGCACTTTCATCACAGTTTGCACCAGGACATTGTGTGCCTTGGGGCTAGGTTTTGTCCTAATCCCCTCTTCCCAGTGAAATGGCATTCAGCTAAGAAGGGTGTTAGCAAGGCAAGAAAGAGAGATTTCCAAAATCCTGTAGGTTCCTTCCAGCCCAGCAAGGCATCATGATTTTGTTATATAACAGTATTTTGTGATACTGTGTTGTTTTGTCATCTTTTTTTTCCATACCAGTACAATTCAAAGGGCCTACATCTCTTAATCACTGGCTGTAAAACTTTTGGTTTATTTCTATTAACTAGGAGATGTTACTCCTCCTAGTGTGAGCCAGTCCCTTATATGTGTCTTCTGAAAGCAGATGTAAATGAAGTAAGGGTACAACTATAGGCAGATCTGGAAATGCTTACACACTGGGGTTATTAGGTTCATGGTAGACAGAGATTTCTGCGTGCCATAACACCCAAACCATGTAAGTTGGCCAAAATTTAGGAAATGCTGCATGTTGAAGTACACACACTTCAAGGAACACTTAGTCAATTAACAGAAACACTGAGCCCAGCCCTCCTGCTGGGGGAAGCAGTGAGAGCTTATAGCTCATAGCTGCTATAGTCTTCTGCTGACCGCTTGCCCAATATAGAATAGTATCATCATTAACAGGCAGACCAGCATCCCAACTCCTCCCTCCACTACCACATCACACACCAGCCTACACTCTTAAATCACATGCCAGAAATCCAAAGTGCCACACCACAAAAGAGAGGATCAAATCAGTGCACTCACTCACTGTGAAGGATGTGAAGAAGGGAGCAAGCTGCCAAAGAACCATGCCATGGGAGATGGAATCAGCCAGGTGAGGAATCCAGCTGCATAGTGGTTTCCCAGAGAGAAATTAATGAGCTTGCTCTGCATCCTGAGAACTCTGCTTCTTTGGAAGAGTCAGGGAGCCCCTTCAGAACCCTCACACAGCACATACACTACACATACTAACCTCACAAGTACAAGAAATCAGCTCTTATAGAGGTGGCTTCTTACCCTGCCTCCGAGTTAATGTGGAAGTTTTGGGCACCTGGTGGTGATCTCCTGATCAGTTCCCACCCAAGGCTGCCCCGACTCTGGGTGAAGACCAGTCAGGAGGGTCTTTCTTCCCTGGTTGTGGACATCATCTATATGCCAACCCTCATTCAGGGCTTGGGGTTTAACCCTAGCACTTCATGTAGAGAAGGTGACTAAGTCCTTTGCAGACTACACATACAACTGGTTTAAGGTCTGGGTATGCCCTTCCTGTCCTGAGCATCATCTGCTTAGCCTAGATTTACTAGCTGACTATGGGGCTGATTTCTAACACAAGCCCTGTGTGCTGTGATGCAAGTGGCAGGCTCCTGAGTGGAAGAAACTTGAGGCTGCAGAGAATTTATTTTAGTTACACAGCATAGGACCTCTTATGGGCACACCATGAAAGAGTAAACATGCTCCAGCTCACACCAGGGATGGTGTGAGTGGGCTAGATGCAGAGGCACTGTTCTGTAGCAGGACCAAGCCTCAGGGACATGGGGTAGGTTCACATCTCCCTTTGCAGCTTCCACCACTAGTGCCTTGCCACTTTGGGTGTGAGAG